ATAGCGGAGCAGCTGCTGTGCCCCTAAACGCAGCATCTTCATTTACTGACGAGAAGACAGAGGAGAGTAAGTGTTAAATTAGTCTATTTAAATCTGCTTCTTTAGTCTATATATACCATGAACTGCCCCCTAACTAAACACCTTTTCCCTTTAATCATGCTCAGAAGATTCAATTGAACACATAAATTAAAGTTCTTTCAATCATTTCTCTACATCTGTCCACTATAACCATTCATTTCCCTTCAAATTGTTATAGGCTGTCTGTGTTTCCTAGAGACATTATGTCATTTATTCTTACATTAGTATATTCAAAGGAGTTTAACACCTTTTAACGTGGTATGAAATGATTAACTTAATGAAAACCTTTTTCTACATGGCATTTCCTGTACAATAGAAATAATAAACATAAAAGACAGAGAACAGAGAAGACCAAACAAACTTCGAAATCACCTCATCATGTTAACATTGTGATGATAAATACTTACCGTACACATAACTCTTTACTATGATTTTATCAGTATATAAACTTATATTTATTATCATTATTTTTCTTTATATTAAATTATCAAAGTCTGTTTTTTCTACTTATTTATCTAATGTCCTTCTAATTCATATTTCTTTAATTCTTTTATCAGTTTTATCTATATAATTTGGTATAAAAAACATAATCTTCTATGTATGCACATTTTCATAACTGGGGGACTCTGTTCACAACAAGCACTGGTGACTGTTTATTTATAGAGTAATTGCTTAGCAAGTTTTAAAAGAATGTTTGTGGTTATATGCAGATAATATTAGTACCACCACAGTTTTTTATATCTGACCCCATCAAGTGCAAATGTCAGAAAAGTACTTAGGTTCAATGCAACTCAACAATCAATGAACTGAAAAAGTTCAATGTTATTAGGTTTTCACTGAGCAAATCTAATGTAAGCCCAAATTATTCTGTAGTTTATGCATAGAAAAACTATTTTCTTATTTTTCTGTCAGCCAAACCTGATTTCTCATATGTCATTTTAACATGGGAGGCAGAGCCCCCTGGGCTTGGCAGTTTTAAGTTAGGCAAATTGTTAGAATGTATTTTGTGACAACCCCGGGGGTTACAATGCAAGAGCACCCTAGTTTAGGTTTTTAAAAACGACATTATCTTATATTTATAGTTATGACTACTGAATGATGCCACAGAATGGTCCAAGAATTATCAAGCCTCAATGCCTTACAAATACAACAGGTCCAGATGAGGTATATAGTAAAGAGTCATCATTCTAGGGTTTCTGGTGTGTGTAAGCTTATAATTTTACAAAAAGATTGGTTGGAAGCTTGTAAGTTTTTCACAAAATACCACAAGCCTTTTCAGTGATGGTAGGCATAGCTGTAGTTTCTTAAACCATCTGTAATGTCTTTTGTGGTATTTTTACTAATATTATTCTCTTTCAGCAGTTTCACCCCTATAATTTTCACGTCCCCACCTACTACCTGGGCTATCAAATTTGATTCTATAATTATGGTCTGTTTAGGGCCACACTGCCATATACAAAAATTTACCCCTCTATTTTTAAAGAATTTTCATGTATGTTGTTTAAATCCATTTCCTATAGATTAACCCAATGCGCCGGGTGGTAAAAAAAAAAAAAAAAAAAAAAAAAAAAAAACAAAAACAAAACTCTACGCTTGAACAAACAAAGGCGGCGCGCCGACGTTGAGCGCCCAGTGAGTAGGGGGACATCAGCACACGAATCAGGCTCGCAGCGCTTTGGAGCACCGCCGGGCGCGTTTCGACTGCATGCCAGCTTTTGAGGCGCTTTGCTTACACGACGAGCGGTGTCACCGGCACCAAGGGGTTAAAACAAGTCAATAATTGTTTAAAAAGTAACCTCACCCCTCTGAGACAAAAGGTCCCAATCACTCAGGCCTACAATCTTAGTGGCATTCTGGGAATCCACCAAATATGTTCAATACCTTCCTAATTCAGGGGTCTTACCGTGCCTCTGGAACCCTACTTGATGGTGGCATTGCCTTCCTGGAGGGCTATGCCATCAGACCCACACCAGATCACACATGAACTTGTATGTGTGCTGTATTGTTGTGGACATTTTCTTCATTCTCATTTATTTCAAGTAATTACACAGGCCATCCAATTTCCAATTATCATCCCTTCTTCTAATTATCCACACTGTAATGTGCATTTTCCATCCCAAATGAAATAAAGGAACCACACCTGATTGCTGTGGACTTCTCTCCTCAAGGCATTTGTTACAACCCTATTTGCTTTATGTTGATGTGTATATTTTTTTGCTTTTGTAGTTTTTACTTGATTATTATAGTGCCATAAATATTCCTATAATTTATAGCAACTTACTATGCCTGCCACAACTTATTGGTAATCAACTTGCAAAGATAGTACCACAGATGAAAAATGTCTCATTTTGTCATTCGTTTGTTACAGGGCAATTTTTATCTATAATACATGGCGTGGGAAAACAAACTGAACTTAATTTATCTGCATCCAAACATATTTTATATACAAATTAATGTAGTTTTCCCTTTCTCCTTGTGCCACGGTCTTCGGTTTCCCCTATTCCTAATGTGGTTGATATGAGAATACAGTTTTAATATTACCAAGAGCGACATACAAGATGGAGGGAAGTGGAACACCACCATCTCATAAGCTATAAGAAAAAAAGAGTCATAAACAACAAGGTACAGCTACTGCCCCTTAACATTTACTGCAAAATGGTAAATATATCTGCTGAAGTTCACCGTCAGAGTCCATACTGCCTCCCGCAGCCAGAGCCGGGTGCATTCTGTGTAAAACTCACGCGGAGGTATGGCCAATAGCTCATCGAGTGTACGCCAATGTTCCCGATAAAAGTCAAAACTTTTCATAAAGTTGATGGCCAAAGTTGCAATCACATTGTCTCAAAACCACGACACAGTGGCTACTTTTGAAAACTATGGGCAGTGGATAAAAAACCGCCGCAAGAGTGGGGGGGGGGGATGCGTGCTTTGTAAAGGAATAAAACAACAACTATGTATAGGTGTATTGCATTCACTTAAAAGCTTGACCACAAAGCAGTAAAGATAGAAAAAAACATGGCGCCGAGATTTTTCATTTCACTACGCAATAGCCGAACGGAATATAATTTAGAGGCTAATCCAATCAACCACACCGCCACGCCGACAGAAAGGGACTACCTTCGAGAGATCCTTCGGACCTAAGCATGAAATACACCCTAGGAGCTAGAAATTCTTGTCCTTTTTCTCCAAGTCCCATTTTCTATAATTCCTTCTCGCCGCGCTTCTTCGTACCCTCCACACTAAAGGCATGGGTCACAAATATCGGTTCTTTGGGCAGTTGGCATGAATTGCAAATAAGGGGGGCTATAGGCAGAAGCTTACCCCCTTATCTAGGGAATAATAGAAGGTAACAGAGGTGTAGGGTTGGGATTTTTGGGTTTCCATGATCCCCAAATCTTCTTCAAAACTTCGTCTCTGGAAGGGGTGTGCCTCTCATTAACAATACCATGAATAACAAAATACCAATACCATAACAATCCATAAATACCATCTAGAAGTCAATATCAATACACGTAATTAATGGGAGAAGCAAAGAAGTCCAGGCATAGTCATGACCACCACAATGTGAACCCCAGTCCTGACAATAAAAAATGACTATCATGTAAAAGCATACTGAAGAATTTGAAGGAGACAGAAGAGGAAAAAACTTCGAAATAAACTAAAATTTCTAAAACATTTTCTACGTGGAGATAAGGGCCTCAATACACGACATCAAAGGTAAAGTTAGGTCCATATACACAGTTAATCCACAAACAAACACTTATACATAGATGATCACAAAGGTTATACATTAATCTACGTCCCTAACTACCCGCAGTAATTACCGAATAAATCTTTATCTCGAAGAACAATAACAAACCAAAAATTACGATTTCAAGCCGGGGATGAATAAAACCCACTCACTTTTAATTAACCCCTTAATATCCACCCCCAACGCGTCCACGAGCCTCAGAGACTCAACCCATTCTACCAATACGAAAAAATAACCCCTAACAAGTCCGTGAGGCACAAAAATCGCGAACTTGCTCACCACAACAACAATCAGCGAGAGGCAAGATGGTGAACCGTCGACCAAGCAGCGTTTTCAAGTTGCGTAAATTTACATATTTTTTGGCTTAAGAAATAATTTTAATTTGTTTTTTTCAAGACTGGTGGATTTTTTTTTATAGCTTTGTCATACCGTTGGTTATCATTTGTTAAGTCGAAATAGAACAACTGGTTAAACTGTCGGTGTGTTATTTTGAAGTAGGATATATCGGTATTTTGCTAATATTGTATATAACTTCGAGATCATTATAAAATTGATGGTGTTCATAATAAGTTATCAAAGATTTGAAATATATGAATATGTGAAAGTTTCCATACGTGGTTTAGACCAAAGTACCAGTTCAATGTGTAGTTGCCTCCCTTGCGAATCTCCAGTCCGACTTTGCTTTTAGTTTTCGTACGCGGTAAGGCATATCAATGCCAGTTTTCCTTACTTCGATTTGTCGAGATATCAGCTCAAAAAAAATTGTTGATAAATACAATCATGGTAATGAATCGCAAAAAGGCGATGTGACTTGTATTTCCAACTATAGGGCCCGGTGACATACAAAGAGTGATCCACTTCGCCGCATTCGGACACGTGTCGGTCTCTGACCGTCTAAGAGTGTCCGAAAGAGACACGACCGGAGGCACAGGCACTATTTTCGGACGCTAAAAGCCAGGAAAATGCCAAATTTCTGTGACTTTGAAAAGTGACGCTGGCGTCAAGGGCCCTAAATATTATCTTGGGGACAAAGTTACATCGGAAGGTACGTTGTCCACAGTGAAAACTAAAGATGAAAAATTCCTGTGTTTCCGAGCCGCCATGGCGTGTTTACTCAGACCAAAGCCTCGCTAATAGACTTTCTCGGCGCAGAGTCCAGGTAAGGTCCCTCATGTGCGCCGGGGAACAGACACATGGCACGTCGCCTGGTTACAAGAGATACCTCGAGGCATGGCGGCCAGTAATGAGTATTCCGCACTAATTGTGGAGGTTTCTTCGTTGTTGAGTTCATTGGTAAGTCCCTCGCGCTGTCATGAAGAAAGGCTTTTTGTTGTCCATTTTAAAACTGGTCATCGTGGCAGCTGTTGGTTGAAATGTTAGAACATTGACATGTGCTCGAATCAGTTTCAAAATCACGTAGTTAAGCTTTAAGTGCTTTATTTTATTTATTTGTATTTTATTATATTTTTTGGTTCGGACAGTAGATGATTTTGGTACGATTACCAGTTTTAAGATTATTCAACCCATTTTTTTTTTCGGAGGGGGGGGGGTGAAGATGATGCATCGAATCACAATTTCAAAAATTTGAATCAGTTTCTCATGCTAGGGGGAGTACGTACACTGAATGGGATTTAAATATTTTTGTAATTTTGTGCTTTTTGGCATATACTCTAGTTATGGCAATTTAGTTTATTAGGCCATGTCCTTTTCTATTTTTTCTTTTTTTTTAAGTTTTCTCAGTCATACTTTTTTTCCAAGACAGTTTAGAATGCATAATAATAACTGTTGCTGGACCGTCAGTGCCTATTCCAGTTTAGGAAACGTAAGGGATTGTTTAGATTGGTCCTTTATGATGATTCTATCCTGATTCTGATTTAGAATGAACCTTTTTTTCTAATACTCAGTCCCTTTTTAAGTGAATTGTAAAATCCATCCTTCAATATAGGTAGCGATTGGTAAATACCTTTTAATTATTTTTTTTTTTTTTTTTTTTTTTTTAGTAAGTAAAATGTAGTTTGAATGTTGTAATGCATGTTAGTGTTTTAGTAACAAATTGCACTGAACATGTTGACCCCCATAGGGTGCAAGTTTGTGATGAGCACAGTGAGACCACATCGTTTACTATGATGGATGGGTCTTTAAGCGCACAGTGATCATTTTGGTATTCTTTACAGTGTGGAGACTGCACTCACCAGATACAAGGTCCCAACTCCATGTAACAACTTTTATTCTCCATCTAAATTGCCATGAGTCATGCCCCCACCCTCCTGTTTTTTTTTTTTTTTTTACTGTCAAGATAGAGCTGAGACTCGAGAGTGCTGAGTGGACTTAGGCTTGAGTGGCGCTTTCTGCGATCTTCCTTGTCGTATTTCTTGTGTTTAGGACTATACTTTTGTCTTCCCCCTGCAAGAATATCATAATTTCCTGTAGCATCATTTTTTAGGTGTCAAGCCTATTAGAATTGCAGCAATAAGTTTTCGAACAAAGTTGATGCACTGCTGATGGTACAGTGGTCAGAATGGTTCCTAATTAATAACAGTATGATGAGATTGGATAGAGAACTTTTATAGCAGGCCTGCACATATGTGTAAGTAAACCTTTACTTTTTACAAACTATAATCTCCTTTTTATAACATTATAGTATTCAAAACTGTTTATCCTAGTAATGTTACAGCCAGTCTTTCATCAGTTTGTCACCATAAACCTTGATTCTATTCATAGCTCTGGTAAGCAGCTGTGAAATATCTCCTAAAAGTAGAATTTATTTTTTAACCAATGCCTCTCAAAAGAGAGAAAAAAAGAATACTGGGGAATTATTCAAACCCAAAATCCCAATCCCATCCTACATTCCAGTTATACTCCCTTCAACTTTGTTAGCACTTTGTGCCAAACTTTCAGGGAATGGACATGAAGAAAACATGACATTTGAGAACTATGCTATGTTAGGGTGTTTGTGGACTTAGTCTCTGAGTGGTGATATGCAACAGATATGGTCATTTTGGTAATAAATATGAGAGCACTGCAACTGTGGGGCCAGTGGGTTTAGTATTCTGTTTTATGCTTTATAAGATGGCAATGTCATTTCCCTCTATTGTGGTGCTCTTGGTAACATTAACCCAAACCATAATTTTTTGTTCTGATTATTCTTGGTGTAGTAGCATGAGGCTTGTTTTTCCCACTTATATTTTCACATTTCCAGCAAGTAAAAATTATTGTAATTGTTTACAAAATGCCCACCCTTCTGTTATTACCTGGCTAACAGCCTTGAGGGCTCTCCTGGGAATTATTTGCTGTAATTGAACGAAAATCTTCTAAATAGAAAACCAATGTGGGGCTTTGCCCCTGGATCTCCACCCAATTGCAAGCATTTGTCCATGAGGCTATTTTCACAATTTGATATTTTTTGCCTTTGCCTTGTCATATATCTGTAAGTGAATTTGTTTTGCCTCGGTCAATTAGATGTCAATGGTCTTCCCCATCCCTAATGCAGTCATTATGTAAGTATTACTGCAAGTATTACTTCAGAATTGCAACTTTCTCTCCAACTTGCTATAAATGAAGCCTTAAATTTGTTCTTTCTGTCCATTACAGGCAGTACCTAGACCTTAGGATTGCTTACATAGCAGTTTTATATATATCTAGTTTCATATTAAGTTATACGAGTTTATCACATTTTAGGGTTTGGACTTTCCTTTGGTAAACACATGAAGTGTTTTATGAATTGCTTGAACCTCTAACAGTACTGTATAGTAGGTTTGCATTTTCTAAAGTAGCTGCATGTTTTTGCTTTTGCAGTGCATGGATTTTTTGTATATTGTTTCTGTGAAGTTTTTGATAGTTTAAAATCGTCACATTTTTTAGCTGAATTTTTGAATAGTGTCAATTTAGAAAAGATTTAGGAAACAGATGAACAAGCTCAAAATTAAAGGTATGTCTTTGGAAGAAAATAATGGGAATAAGATTTTTACATACTTTGGTTTTGCATAATGTGAGTTTCCCTTGGGGAACATTTTGATGTCTGATGTATGAGCGAGTGTCGTATTTCTGAATATTTCTTGAGAATGGGATTGTTCTCATTCCTGTTTTCATGATGGATAACACCTTGTGTGAACACATAATGTGCGTTCTAGATAGTATCTGATTATACATTATTATAAGTACCTGCTGGTTGAGTACCTTCAGTTTTGATACATTTTTTTTTTACATATCCTCTCCCCAGGTTTGTCCCATCCCAGGATGATGTAGCAGTGTTTGAAGCTCTGGGCAAGGCCCCAGCTGGAAAGTATTCACATGCTCTCAGGTGGTACAATCACATTAGCTCATTTGGTGCTGAGAAGAGCAAGTTCCCTGGTGTAAAGAAGGCCCTTTCCAACCAGGCCCCAGCTCCTGCTGCTGCCGATGATGACGACGACGATGAAGTTGATCTCTTTGGCTCGGATGAGGAGGAAGAGGTTAGTAGGTTGAGGTTTTGAAACTTGTATGGGTTCCAAACATGACCACCAATTTCCAAATCTTCGAAGCAAGGTTTTCCTGTGCTGTTAGTATTGACATTGTTCTATTTGTAAATAACTTGTTTGAATTTGAGGAAAAGTTAGCACCACTGATAATTTGAAATTGACATCGACATGATGTAGAATACTCAGGTGAACAATAATGTGCAGTTCTAGATAGTATCTGATTTCTTACCAGCTTTGGAGAAAGACCTCCCCTTTTTCTGCCAATTTTAAAATTATTTCTGTCTCTGTAGGATGAGGAAGCTGCCCGTGTAAGAGAGGAGAGACTAGCTGCCTACGCTGCTAAGAAGTCTGCTAAACCAGGTCCTATTGCCAAGTCACAGATCATGTTGGACTGCAAACCTTGGGATGATGAGACCGACATGAAGGAGATGGAGAATAAGATTCGTACAATCACCATGGATGGTCTTGTTTGGGGAGCAAGTGAGTTTTAATTTAGTTTTATATATTTTTACTTGTAATTGGTGGCTAAAATTCATTGAGGTTTAAATTGCGTAAGGATTTGACTCTATCACACCTGTATGTATGCCTCCTAAGTTATGTCACAAACATTTCTCTGTTACAGGTAAGCTCAACCCCCTGGCTTTTGGCATCATGAAGCTCAGTATCTTGTGCACGATAGAAGACGCTAAAGTTTCTGTTGATGACCTCACTGAGAAGATCGAGGAGTTTGAGGATTACGTCCAGTCTGTTGATGTTGCGGCATTCAACAAGGTCTAGATGCATCGCTACTCTGGTCTTCCAGTTGTTGCAGTCTGACGTTAATAAAATCCGAAAAAAAAATATTTTTAATAAAGTCAAACGTCCTGTTGTGGTTTTGGTGCCCCTTGGTAATGTAATTTGACTTGATATGGAATGAATATTTAGCTTCAATGATTAAACATTTATATACAGAAGGAAGTGGTTATTCACATGTTTATCAGTACTGTATTAAGTGTTGGCAAAAGTGAACTATAACTTGGATACATGGAATTATTGATAACTTGTTTGATACCTGCATTTATAAATGTGAAAATACTGTATTAGCTAGAAGCCAGAGGAGGGAATAACCTCCCCCCCCCCCAAAAAAAAAAAAAAAAAAAAAAAAAAATTGATAGCCATATAGGCCTATTTTCTTACTGTTTAAAACATGATCTTGATATTTGAAAGACCTTTGAAAATGAAAACCACAATCAAATACAGAAACCTGTACTTGCAATGAATATTTGTAAGTATAGACTTGTTAACCTTTAATCTAAAATTGAACAAACTTCGGTTGCTAGTGTTTTAAGTAGAACTGGGCTTGGCATTACCGATTTCTCAAATCCCCCCCCCCCCCTCCCTTGCCCCTCGTTGCCGTGGGGGAAGGGTGGATTAGGCGGCGGAGACAGGCCCAATGTAAGGGATCACCCCTAATGTGGACCTCAGCCCTCGCCTCAACAAATTTTGCATGGCCTTTTTAAAATTTTCAATAAAGAAAATGGTGTGCCTCATTGACATTTTAAGTACTTTTACGGATTCCCGTAACTCCTTAACTCTCAAAGATCTATGCACTCGACCAATCCCCATGTCTATAAGACTCAGAACTGTTTCTACCTGTCGACGTGCGACAAATATCTCGGGATTTTGCTGGGTGCCCAGTCATGTTGGAATCCCCGGCTATGAACAGGCCGGTATTCAAACACGCTCCGTCGCTATTACCACATCACACCAACCACGTTTTTCACGTATTCCAGCCATGGATTATTACCCCACTTAAGACCTTCCTTAATACTCCATGGCAGCTTTTCTTTCGCAAATAAAATTAACTTCTCTAAAACCTTCGCTGGTCCCACCCCCCAAAAAAAAAACCAATCCCTTGCCCGTTGTTGTCGTGGGGGGGCTTAGGAGGCGGAGACTGGGACCCAATGATGGGGAACTCCCCAACCTTGGGACTCAGCCCTCGACTCAACTAATTATGCATGGTCTTTTTTTCCCTTCCCACTTTTGTTTCTGTCCCTTCACCAAACCCTTCTGCTATCCACCTCCTAAGGTGTGAGAGCCGTGCTGAAAGGATGAAAGGCTGACTTTGTGCCAGTCCTGAACGGCCTGAGGGAGCCATGGGCACGGTATTCCCCTGATTTAGTTATCTAGCCCTTACCCCTCAAGGGGACCCTGAGGGGTGGACTGTTTTTATCCCCAACATAATCCAGGCTTCCATGGCCAGTAATGAAAATCTATCTCCACTATTAGGGCAATGAGGCTTGCCCCTTTATCAAATAGCCCCAACGAAGTAACCCACCTGATTCCCGACCCCAGGCTCTCCTTTGACCACGGCTCCGACACTGCAATAACTACCCCTTCACCAATGCCTACTAGTACAGTAGCCAATAATCAACCTTCAAGGAACATTTCCACTCTCCCAGCATACCCAACTTCAACACCTCTACCCCCACAACCCCCAACATCCAACCACCCCGATCCTCCCTTATTAATACTTACAGCCTTATAGCCCAACCTCTTCCATACACTACCTTCTATTCAACACTACTCCCATCTTCGTCACGACGACCCCTTCGCCTTCTACCACCCCTATCTCTAAAACCAATCTTTATACTCTCTTCATGCAGCAAATGGGACCGATTTTTCGTGATCCCTCCCACAGCTCCCTACTCCTGACACACCCCTTCTCTTCCAACAATGCCGCCAAGAAACAAGTAGGTAAAGTCTCTTCCGTAACCGACCCGACCGCTCCCGTCTTGTAACAGTCACACATCCGAAAACCAAGCCATAGCACTAAACAGAACTAACTGACGCACTATGTAACCCCATCCTAGCAGACCCCATCCAACCTTAACTACTTGCAGCACCGGAACCAGTCTCAATCTCACCAGCAAATTGCCCAATCTATGACAAAGATTGGTCAGATTGTGGAGAGTCTACTTGCCTGTCTCACAGACTACGATGCAACATCAGTACAATGCGTACTCAATCCCCCCCAGAGGTCATCGAAAGAAACCCCACTAACAAGCCAAAATTACCTGCCGCAGACATGACCTTCCCTTTAACGTCTACATAGAGAGAATCCCTCCCTGTTCGTCCATACCACCTCCTCCCGTCAGTGCCAAAATTGTTTGCGTTAGACGACCCAGCCCACACTGCCGTTTCCACAGCCAGATGCCCATTATGTGCCCAACCTGGCCTATACCCGATCTAACTGCTTCTGCACAATCACCACATGGCCACTGTGGCGAGCCCCCATAATTATTTATAGGGCTGTCCCACCTACACTTTGAATCTGAGGTAGCAACTCTCAAATCAAACTTGGACTCACACTGCGTGAAGCCAGACAGGAAGTCACGTCGACGTGGATTCTCTCTTCCTCCTTACTCCAGTAATACTGCTCATTCTAACACTTCCCTCCTAACCCCCCCCTCCTACATCTAACCCCCCCACTTCTACCTCCTAACCTTCCCCAGTCTAGCTCCTTTTGGCCATCCTAATCCAGAAACATCCAATCTCTAATACAGTACTCCAATCACCACTACAACCCCAACACCTTCCCCTCTCCCTCCTCGCACTCCCCGTAACAACAGAACAAACGTTCCACCCCCTTCTTCCCCTACCACACATCACCTCCACCATCCTTTGCCCCTACTCTTGAAACACATGCCTCTCTTCCCCCCTCACAAGAAATCCTTTATCCCCCAACTCCCCAACCAACTCCTCGAAAGAAACTATTGAAAATATCAGATTACTTAATGCAAACTGACACTCAACCTACAACCCCTGCTCCTTCCACACTCCAAGTAACTGCTGATATCCATCCCCTCCTAACGATATCCCCCCTACACCCTATCCTCTTCCCCCTCCCAACACAGCCCTCCCCCCCGACCCCGACCCCCCACCCAGCACACATTAACCCTCACCGACCCCCCAACCATCCCCTCTATCCTTCCACTCCCTCCTGGATACCACGTGAATCCCTTATGTCACAAGTAGCTCCACTTCCCCAGACCCTCCATCTCCGATACCCCTCCTGATAGAACACCAACTCCCACATCTCTCCCATCCAAACTCTGCTCCGTACCTTATCCCACCTCTACTGATTCCCCCTCAAAGTCTCCAACACGTCTGCAATCTATATCACTAAATCAACGAAAGTATAACTATCCCTTATTGGAATATTCGCGGTTTCCGCTCCCACAGACCTGACCCTTCGTCATATTCCTTTCCTCTTATACCATCTATTATCTGCCTTCAAGAGACTTCTTCCACATCCTCCAATACCAATTCCCAATTACCATTTTGTCTCTTCCTCACACTCCCTTTATGTCTCGTCTATACTTATCCATCAGAAAACAACTTGATGTCACACCACCCTTTCAAACCACTGTCCCCTTGTAACAGTTTATTCGTATCTTCCTCAATCTGTTGGATCCACAGTGATTTCAGTCTACTTTCTCCCCATTCCCACCACCCATTGACTTGTTGCTTTTGAAAAGCTAATTTTCCCAACTTCCAACCCCTTTCCTCATAGTAGCGACTTTAACTGCCGCCAACTCTTTGGGGGATTCTATTACCAACTCCAGGCCGATCTCTAGATCGCTTCTCTCACACAGCTGCCTACCTATTCTAAATTCCAGATCGCCCCCACACACTTTGATAACCGCCGCAATCTTTTTCATGCTTTGACCTCTCTCTATGCTCCCCTTCTCTTCAAAGATAGATTTCACACTGGTCATCTTAGACCACTTTCCCTATAGTGACCACTTTCCGTTTCCCTTTCTCCTACTTCATACGTACCACTTCCTAACTCCCCCGTGGTGCTTTTGGAGAGAGCCGACTGCATACTTTCACTTCACTCTCTGCTATTCATACCCCTCATCCTCCTCACCTCCATTTCAGAAATGATACAATGTTTTCACAAAGACTACAGTCTTAAGAGCTGCACATACAGCTATCCCTCGAACCTCAGACCATATACCTGCTAAAATGTGTTCCTGGTGGAATTCTGATTGCACTAAAGCACTTCGCGTAAAACGTGCAGCCTGGAACAGTTACCGCTACAAGAAGAGGTACTCCAAAGCAATCGATCAGCCCTTATCTCCTTAAAAGAGATCTGCTGTCTTACGTCTTACAATCGCGGAATATAAACAATAGCTGGCGAGATTATGTTTCATCAATTACATCCTTAACATCTATCTCCAAATGTATGCGACGAATCCATAAACTATCAGGCAAACATCCCCCCCATCCTGCCCCGTCCTCCATATTCGAGATACCCTCAATTTCTGAATCTCTCCAAGTCGCTAATGACTGGGTGATTATTTCCGCCAGGTCAGTAGTGGCTCTCCCTTTCTTTCTCCACACTTCTCTTCTATCAAGACCACCAGAGAACGTCCCCATTACCTTCACCCCATCCGCACACTGAATCCTATAATGCCCCATTTTCTTCCTCTGAACTCATTACTGCCCTACATCGTGCCGCAACACTCATGAAGGCCCGACGGTATTCACTACCGTAATGCTCCGGCAACTCCCCATCTTCCTCCTTATCCTTCCTATTAAAATTTATTACCACCACATATGGGACAGCAGTGAAATTTTCCTTCTAATTGGCGAGAAGCTCTTATCCTTCCTTCCTGAAACCCAATAATCGGGTACCCCTCCCTCAGACTATCGCCCCATCGCCTAACAGCATGCTTGTGCAAACTATTAGAGCGAATGGTGAACTTCCGCTTATGTGGTACTTAATCTCACAATCGTTCTCTTCTCCTCCCCATTCGGTTTTCGCCGGGGGGGGTGCCAGACGCACAGCGGACCCCCTTGCGCTCTTTTAGACATAT